CCACAGTACTCACCTCTCTTTTTTCTACCTTTGTGTCGATTTGTCACTTTCCATCTGTAATTCATTCTTCTATCCCCCATCACGACTTATTCTCACTTTGATGCTCTCCCCTTGTGTGAAGCCTGAAATCAACTAAAGTGCTAATGATAACCATCAAAACGCCTGGCATTTGAAATAAATGATTGGTCACTGTACGGTCGCGGCACACAGAGTTGTACGGCCGCACCTCCCAATCCTGGCGAGCAGACATGCAGGCATACGATAACGCACACAGCGATAACGTGTCCCGCAACCTACAACTTTGTAATCGGCATTACTAAATGAAGTATAATTTTTCGGGAAAGAGGCGATTGCCAATCAATAGCCGTTATTCTTCAAATATGTCTAATGAACACAATTCAAACGAATGCAAAAGTGCAAAAAATGAACATTTTAATCAAATTAAACTGTATTAGTGCCTGCTAAAATTTATTTGAGATTTTTTGAAGAGTCCTTCAGTCATATTTCGTATTTCCCACAATACATAACACTTAACAAGAATTCATAGGAAATCGAAACGCAAAGTTATAAAGTTCTTGACCGGCATTCATGACCTTCTTTCGTGCATATCTTTATTTCTATTGCGGGTATTCTACTGAAAGTAACACTACATTACCAGTTCTCAACTTCCAGTGTCAAGCAGAATGATTTGAGCATGACTGAGTTCCCCTCGACTCAATTCAATTTTACTTCCCTAACCAGAGACCTGCTTCTGATACAACTTGCTAAGAAGTGATTTTATCGAACGGTATTCTGCCAGGAGATTTCCTAATAAACGGTACATTTTACTTAATGGTAGACCTAGATCAATTTATTGGTTTACGGATATCTTAAGTACATAATTCCCAAATTTAAAGAGCCATGTGATCACAAATCAACCAAGGAGTAGGTATCTTTTCCAAGATACTCAGTAGAAATCACTTTTTGTTTGTACGGAATTAATAACTTACGCAGATTTTGGTCATTGATATAGAACACCTCAAAAAAGAATGAATCCTATTATCTTGAATTTCAAAATGTTTGTCTGCGTGGCGATTATAATCAGAATACTGCTGCTTTTTGGCCGATTGATTCAGCTCCTCGTTAACTTTGAAAATGTTCACGATTATCTCGAGAGCCGTGAAAAAGAAATAGACTTGTTTAAACAAAGTTTTAACAACATTCTCAATTTTTCGGCTGTCTTTCTCATTCCTGTGCTGTTGCTACTAATTTTTTCAAAATTGTATCTGCTAAGGAGACGTCGGGCGTAATATTTAACACGCGCGTTATTTTTTATTTTTTTGTACAAAATATTGCAATAATAGACATTTGTATACACGGAGTCATCTTTGTTGGTTTGATCGTTCATTGACTGCGCGTTGCTGCCAGGCTATTGTCCTTAATACGCCATATTGCAATTTGCCGAGTATTCCACAAACCATTAGTTATTGATTAACCATGAAGAGGCTAGTTTATCGATCAAACAGGCAACGGAGTTGCCATTTCGGCATTTTATGCACGATCATTGGCATTTATTAGCGATATCAGGAAAAAACAATGCGCTTCAAGGATTTCGCTTTTAGAATTGACTCGAAATGAAGCAGGGAATTAGAAAAGTGTGTAAAATAGATTTATAAACCAAATAAAATGAGATTACCTTGATATTGGCAGAAAAAACGTCCTTCACGTTTTGATAAGGTTTGCTCCACCCCTTCAGCAGATGTTCGTGAATATTTATAAATTAGTGGGTGTAGGAATACGACTAAAAGCGAAGAGAGAGAGAGCCTTCTACAATACAGTGTTTTAGAATTCTTATCGAAAAGGCAAAAAAAAACGTTCCTCAGCATTTATGAGTGAAAATCGTGGTCTCTATCTTAGGTACTTATTTTGTTCCCAATGCAAAAAGATCCCAGCAATTTAATTTCAGAATTTTGTGTGTGCAGACCCCGCCATGTAGAAAAATAGTGGTGATCTACTTTATCGCTCACAGTCTATGAGTACGGTAAAAGCTTCTTATATTTACACAAAAATAGAGTTACTGAATTTTATTAAGTAAAAACTCGCATTCCCCAAACATTTGGTTTAAGTGGGAATCGTTAGCTTACTAACCACGCATGAAAATAAGCCGAGTAAACAAAAAATGCCAATAAATGAACGGTGATTTTGGCGGCACTTGTTTTATGCCATAAATTGCATAGCTGAACAGCAGGGTGCATAGGGCCTAAGATTACTGAAATCGTCAGCTTAGATGGATTATTTAGTTAGATCAAATGGCAGGCTATATGATAGTTATCATTAGCCCTTTAGTTGACTTCGGACTTCACAGAGGAGGGACATCAAAGGGATAAATAGTGGATAGGGGGAACAGAAGAGTGATCCACAGATGTGAAAGACACAGACACAAAGGTATCGAAAAGGGAGAGCACTATTGAAATAGTCGAATATGACATGCAGTGGTGTCATAGTAGTTTGGAGTCAGAGGTCAACTGCCGGTTTATAGACATTTTTGCTGTGTGAGTAATACGTTGCCCAGAGTGCACCGCGTGGAGGTAAATCTATCGCCCATCCCATTTAGATAGAATATTCTGTGGTGGCTAGTCTAGCATCGGCTTATTTCTTACCAAATGAAAAAGCGGACACAATGATTTTCCATTCATATTCACAACGTATTACAGCTATAGAATTTCTAGCTTACATTTCACATCTGCGCCAATTATAGTGGAAGCAGCTTACCATCAATTGGAACCTCTTGATAATTTGGAATCAGCCAAATTTTGTGACAAGGACGTTCTAACAACGCAGATAAACGACGAAAATGCTAATTCCATATTAAAGAAATAAAGATGCAGCTTAAAAAGATGCGAAAGAATTTATTCACAAAAAAAGCATGCACATGCCGCCATCTTCAAGGCAGGTAAGAAGGAAAAAAGAAAAAGAAACTACAAAACGACTTCCTCTCGACTCGAATCACTTCCAATCACCAAGCACCCCATCCGTCTCCTTCATCTTCAGTGGCTTTTTTCGACATTGGCGGAGCCATTGCTTTTCTACCAGAAGAAGAAGCTGGATTCGGTCTCATAACGGGGGAATTACGAACTGAAGACGATATAGAAGATGCTTTCGAATTCGTAGAACCAAGCATTTCCTCAAAGAAATCTGTCTCATTCGAGGTAGCTGGAGCTCGTTGCCATGCACCACTACCACCACCACTCGACGTTTTAACACTCACTCTCGAGGCCAAAGACGACTTGCCACTGAGTGCTGGACTGAGAGAAGAAGCCTTAGAACTCCTCAAATGTTGTGATCCACGGTTCCACGATTCTTCCGATGGTTTCGGCTGTGGTTTTACTGGAGAGGTATCTTCGCCCCATGAAGCCCAGGCGTCATCTTGTTGACGAGCTGTGCTTGGTTGTGTCGGCTGAGAAGCAGATAGAGGTTCATCCCAATCGATCAAGAGGTCATTGCGTGGAGCTTGGGGCCTTGAAGACGAAACAGGAAATGTGGGTTTTGGTGAAGTGATGGAGAGAGAATCAAAATCAAGTTTGTTGTCTACATCATCTCCCCAGTCGCCATTGCCATCACCGCCAGTATCGTCGTCTGTAAAATCTTCATCAGCATTCATAGCATTCCATGTAGCAATTGAGGATTTCTGCTTAGGAGCTTCTTGGGACCTAAAATCATCGTCTTTCTCCTCCTCATCTTCCCATTCACCCACCATTTTCAACGCGGGACTAGATTTTTTGGGAGGAGTTGATGAGCTTAGAGTTTGAAGCTTTGACGGGACAGGGTGGGAGGCACCTTAAATGAAAAAAAACTGGTACAATTTTGGGCAAATATCTTGATTATGACATATAAAATAAAAAAGTTAAAAATTGGCACGAACAGTCAATGATTCTATAACGAAATCCATCAATCGCTTAGACACTTCACCTTGCGTTCAATTTTCTCGGGAGAACAGATGCTTATTGACTTTTTAAAGCATACTTACTTCACACTTCAAGTGTTACCATTAACAATCCCTCGTGGGAGAAAAAGCATAGCAATATCCCAGATTATGTTTAAGGAAGCGGGATGTGCGATAGACTTATTTCCACGTGGTGCACTCTGTGTCTATAGACCAGCAGTTAACTTCTGGCTGCCATGACCCGACTGTATGTCATATAGGGCCACTGCCACAGTCCTCACCTTACCTTTTTATCTACCTTTGTATCTGTCTCTCTTACATCTGTGAATCACTCTTCTGTTCACCCCTCCCCTCTCTCCACTTTTTGCGACTCTGATGTTTCCCATCCCCTCTGTGAAGCCCGAAGTCAAATAAAGGGCTAATGATAGCTCTAAAAACGCTTGCTACTTGAAATTAACAAGTAAATGTCTAAGGAAGCACACCTTCTACGAGAGAGAGAGAGCAAGGAGAGGAAAATGTTCAAGGAAATTCAGTGATTAGTTAGTATGAGATGGAAAAACAAAGGTCATGTGAACTTAGGATTTGGTCATTCATTGGTACAAGTGTCCTCTGGTAAATTTACCCATCAAGTGGAATCTTATTGAGTACTCTAATAAAGCAAACGCACACAAGTTTTTTTCACTTTACAGTTTACCGTTTCATTTTGTACTTTTACTCATTTAAAACTCTACTTACTTAGTGCAAGACGAGGGGTTTGAGCACACAATTAGATTAAGTGTTAGTTGGAAAACATGCGGAGGAAGAAAACAGCATTAAAAAATAGGGAATCAGAAAGCCAATGAACAAAGAAGTGAAGCACTAACCAGAGGAGGATGAAGGAGCTGTTGCTGTTGTCTGTGAAGGCGCCTGTTGAGCGGAAGCAGTACCACCAGTCGTTGTATTAGAAGAGGAGATAAGACGCGAGGAGAGCGATGAGAGAGCCGTAAATGCCCAATTGCCGATGCTAGCTCCTGCGGAAGTTAATTTACCACCAGCTGCCACCACTGAACCAGCTACAGCCGACGCTCCACTAGTCGTTCCACCGAGAACCGAAGTATCTGCTTCCCCAGCTGTAGGATCTTCACTTGTCTGCGGAGCAAAGAAAGTATTTAAGAACTTCGGAACAGACGGAAATGCCTGCTTATGCGCTTAGGTCAAGCGAATGGTTACCTTGTATAAACACAAGCAGGAGAAAGAGAAGGGATTTACTCCGTAACAGCTTTTCACAACACATAGCTTGAATTTTTAAGGCGGGGTATTTGAGAAAATTTAGCATAGTCAATATAACGTTCAATAAATATTTTATTTGCACGCGAAGTATCGCGCAGAGAATTATACGCTCTAAGCTGATAGGCTAATCCCAACGCTCGACCAACACATTCCCTGTGTAAGGAATAATGATTCAAACGAAATATCATAAATGGTTAGCTCCCTTAAATTGACTTCTTCACTTAAATATCCTTTTAACGCCCTTAGGGGACCGTACAGCCCTCTTTCAAAATAAGCTCCATTGATACTAGACTCGTAACAGAAGGCGCTATTGCCATTTAAAACATATTCAATAAGTCTATAGCCCTCGCCTGATACACCACCAAAACTCATCACATCAACATCAGTCTGCTGTGGGACACATGTAAGTGTGGTCGGGTGCATTTTGCCAAAAAATAAATCGGGCGTTAAATGGTTAGGTAAATTGGATAAGAGAGCATGCTTAGTCTACCAAGAAATCGCATAACTATTTAAATAGGAGAGGCCGAGACAATAGCTGATGCAGTGTCACAAAGCAAACTGATTTCGCGTGGTACTTAACGTGTAATGATGACTCAATACCCTCAAAAGTCTGCATATTATCACTACACCACGGACACAAACACTCACCTTCTCCAGTCGTTCAATCATTCCTCTCATAGCTTTCAGCGCAATATCCCGAATATCCTTCTCGGGATCCACAGTAACGAAGGAAAGACAGGGAATCACCTTTCCCGCCAACTCCTGGGCAGAAAAGAAGGCTTGACAAGCGGCGAGACCAGTGATAGCTGCCTGCCGACTTGCTGGGAAGGTGTCACGAGTTGCCCTCAAAAGAGCATTCAAAACGGGTCCACGACGCACAGAAGGTTCCATTCGAACAGCCAGTTTGGCAAGGCAGATTGTTGCATTGGTACGTATACCACCTTGATCGTCTTTGAACTGCAAAAAAGACAGCAAGAGGTAACATGAGCACTATCTAGCTACTTTCGATTTAAGGGAGAGATAAAATGACTTCAATTATAATCCTTAGGAGTTCCAAAAATGACCAAAGGAGTTAATAAGAATGTGATTGAGAATCTAGGAGAACCCATTCAAAAGCTCTCAACAAGGGCAGATCTATACGCAACTACCTAGTTAAGTTCCCCAGACTCCCATAAGGAAAAGATTAAAGAATAAGAATGAACGTTTGCATCTGTTAAGTGAACCCGTTCCAGTTACTTTCAACGACTTCGTCAATCAGCAAAGTTGGTACACAGGAGATCAATGGGCGATTGCTGGAGAAAACGAATAACTTCGAAATATTATGCGAGATTTTAGAGAGAAAGTAATAATCTAGAACTATTGGGAAAGAGGTAATACCTCACGTTACCTACTGTGGTTTGAATAAAGCGAACGACTTAACTAACCCTTGGACATTAAATGAGACCGATGAATCAGGATTTCAATTGAACAACAACTTTTGGATCTTCTCAAATTCGACCCATTAAAATGAGCTTTATCACCAGGTATCACTCTTAGGTGCATTTTGCATTTTTTTTATAACGCCATGAATAATTTATTTATATCAAATGGCAGGCGCTCTGGTAGTTATCATTATCCCTTTAATTGACTTTGGGTTTCACAGAGGGGAGAAACATCAAAGTGGGAAAAATTCGAGAGGAAGAACAGAAGAGTGATTTACAGATGTAAAAGAGACAGACAGACACAGAGGCAGAGAAAAGGTAAGATGAGTACTGTGGAAGGGATCGAATATGACAAGCAGTGGGGTGGTGGTAGTTTGAAGTGGGAAGTCAACCGCCGGTTAATAGACTTTTTTGCCGTATAAGTATACGTTGCCCAGAGTGCACCACGTGAAGGTAAATTTATCGCACACCCCTGACGTGAATAATAGTAGTAATAATACTCGATCTATGTCCGCTCATGATGATCCAATTTCATCTACTAAGTTGGTCCTACACGTGGCTAAAACATCACGCTGTACGCAAGACTTGCCGTATAACCAAAGAAGCAAATTAAGGCCTGGCAGTTGGAGTCCTCGCCTTGTTTATCGAACGACGTAATCACACTTTTCTAGTTTAAATATCTAAACCGCTTTTTTCTTCATCAAAACTAACAAACCCGCAACCATCAATGCTTTGAAGGTGGAATCAAGAAATAGAGGCAACAGATTATTTGGTGTTTCTGGTATATCATGCATACCATCGGAGCTTAAATTTATAAACTGCTTACAATTCTCCATCCAATTTTAGGTATTTAGCTGAATATCTGCAAGATACTCACCTCTAGAGTAGTGAGATGTCTCACAAGGGCGTCATTGAGTACTCTTGACGGTAGTTTGGGTGCAAGATGAACCATAGCTCTTATGGTTGCTTCTCTGACTAGCGGATTAGCATCTGTGAAACCAGCAGCCACAGAAGGGAAGATTTGCGATTCGACCAACTTGGGTGGAAGTTTGTTGACAAATTTGGGAAGTTGTTCAAGCAGACGCACTCGAGTGGCGCGATCTGGAGCTGCAAAGAGACGTACGAGGGCTGGCACAACAACAACTTCAAAATCCGAGGCGGGGAGAAGGTGCGAGAGTTCAAGAACCGGAACTAGAGCTTCAACACCGGCAGAACCATATTGAACACTCTGGACCAAATGAGGAAGGATCTAGAGGAAAAATGGAAAAAATTAGGCCAGCCAATTAAATTCTTTGAAAAGAACGGTATAAGAGGGCTCAAAGAACTATTTATTTACTTAATGGGGGAGTTCTAAAAGCGTTACCGAATGGGCATTTCGCCAAAATTTGAAGATATCTCTAAATTAACGCTACCATCTATATTACTCGAAATTTACTTAAAATATTGTATCTATTTTCCAAATTTTAACTGCAAGCTTATAGTAAACATCCTTTAGATGAATATTCATTCGATGCCGGAGGCATGCATTCTACTACTAGCCCTTTGTCTCAAAGTTGTCAATATCTATAGCCATTTTAAAATGAAGTGTACTGAGGTAAGAACAGAACCGAGAGTTGTACGTGAACACGAATGTGTAATTAAACCCTACAACTAAGCGCACACAAACGTTGGACGATGGAAATAGAAAAAAGATACTTCGAACGGTATGCAAGGAGCGAGTGGTGGAACAGATAAAGTAACACTTTAGTGTGGAATTGGTAATGAGTAGTTCAGAAATCTGAGCATAAAGAGAGTACCAACCGTTCAAGGCAGATTAAAAAAGTACTAGATGATCTATGAAATAACCTTCAAAGCAGAAACACCAGAGTTCCAGTCACTACCATTAGACAGAAAGCCCCATTTGATAGTTGTATAAGCGAAAATTACTCCGAGCATTAGCATTTCAATAAAAGAAACAAAGATAATAAACGTTGTAAATGAGTTCTACTGGTGGAATCCCATTAACCAATTAAGCAAGTTGACCCGAAGTTAATCAGTCATATGCGTGCATATAAGATTGCATGGGTCTAAGTAAAATGGCAATCTAAACTAATAGTGGGAACAAGGCCAAAGGAGAACCAAGATACAAAAAATAGAGCGGAGAAAAGTAAAAAAATACATGGAAATCATCTTTCCATAGATCAGAAACTAGTTGAAGTGAAATTTCGACAGCAGGTTGAAGAATTTCCTAATTCTTCGAACGCCATTACAACGAGATTAGGAATATAATGAAACAGCAGTAGAATGTGAATGGTATCTACTGGAGACACAACCCTTGAGATTTTTGAACGAAAATTAGCTAGAAGGAGCAATAGGAGAGAATCCACGAACAGCTTAAAGATCAATAAATGAATTATATGCAGAACGAAGTAGAAAATTTACCTCAAGCTGGAAACTAGTTAGCAAAAGTAAGTAGGAAAGAATAACACGTTGTGGCAGAGAACTAGAGCTCTCTGTTGACACTGGGGTGTCCAAAATGTTAAGCCTACTAACCATGAATTCTTCGAAGTTTAAAATCCACTAATATCCATTCAATCAAGGTGCAAAAGGTTCGTGTATAAAGGAGTGCGTTACTCAGACTCACAAACAATAGGAAATTCTTAGAACACGCGCATTTTATTCTAAGTGTATCGTAGAATTTTAAAAAAATCCATTCAATTCGAGAAACTGCCGAAATGGTGATAAAGAACACATCAGATGGCAAACGGTTTTGCGAAAAATAGCAGTAAATAAAGGGGAAGATTGAAAGCATAAATGAATTTGACTCAGAAGGATTCATCCTACTCGTGTAATGGAGGTTACCATTATTCAACTAGATTATTTAAAGGAAACCGATATACCATCAGAGTAGCAGTTATATTTTACTCAACAAGATGACTTTATAAATACACAAATTTTAAATTCGCCGCCAATTAATCATGTGAAATGACATTTAATGGAAGTAATATCCTAATATACAACAAAAGTTTTGACACAACCTATTACAAAAATAATACTTACTTTATACCGACAAATATCATCAGGAAACAGCCCGACAGCCCTTTGACCAAGTCCCGCCAGGAACTGTGCCTTCTCCTCTTTATCCTTTAACTGAATCTCTTCCAGAAATAGCAGGGTATCAATATAATCATTTTTGAAAAAGCCAACTTTTAGGAACGCAGCAAAGGGAGATCGAGCCTTTGACGCAACAATAGAAGTCTTTGTGGATAAAAGGCGGCGGTATGAGGTCACCAAATTCTTCGGAAGCCTGTCCAGACTTGATTTAGCTCCCAACTGAGTAGCTTCTGTGAGAGGTTCCGGGTTAAATATCTCCCAGATCAAACAGGCCAGACCCCATGAGTCTACACAGTGGTCATTGGGAGCACAATAAGCAGCTAACGGAGAGAATACACTATTAGAAGGAGCACCGTAATAAAATTCCCTCAGTTGATTATAAAGACATTACATACCTGGTCTATGGATGTTCATCCTCATTTCCTTCGCCTCTGTTATCGGGGTGACATAATCCAGTCTCCCAAGTTTCCATTCTCCCGATCTGTTTACATATACAGTAGCAGCACAAACTGCATTATATGAGAGTTGGCAATCGTCATTTAGAAATCTCAGAGTACGAGCAATCTGATAGATTCCCCATGAGGCTAGTTTGGCAAAGTTTTCACACGCATCTGCTTGTTCTCTTAAGTAGTCACTTAAAGGGCGCACTTCCTCGGTAATGATGTAGAAAGGCACTTTTGGGTTGAGAGTTTCGGTTCCTCCCATCCAAGTGAGAATATTTGGATGACGCAGGGTTTTCATACGCTTAACTGTTTGACTTAGGGCACCGGAGGCATATGACGATGCATTAGCGCAAGAAAAGACTGTAACGCGATCAGACGGTGTCTTTCGACTAGAAGCTGATTGGCGAATCCAGTGAAAATTATATGGTCCAGGGAGGGGTTCGGTAACTGGGGGAGGAATGAGCGTGAGTGAGGAGAGTGGATCATCGTGAGAACCGAGAATGGAACTGCTAGGATTGCCACCACTCTCATTGGAAGACTTGTTCGAGAAGATCCACATGTAGCCTACTTACTATAAGTTCAGTAGTTAAATAAAAGTGAATTTTAAGATGAAGAAAAAAGATAAAGCAAATGCTACTGATCTCAATAATATTTTAACACATAGAATCACAACTAATCGAATTAAAGTTTCTAATAGAAAAGAGAGTAAAAGTTAAATCACTTGCAAGGGAGTAATATCTGGATCACTTAAGGGGACATAATCAGCAATAAATACTGTGAAGTAATGAGAGGCAAATATTTTGAAAGGATGAATTATGAAACCAGAAGGAAGACAAGTACCGAGATAACATTTATAACTGAAGCGAGTACTAAGCCGAGAAAAAATCGATTAGCTACCTCGTTATTCAATGCCAAAATTGTAAGACTCCTTGAAAAACTGATTAACTTATGTAAAAAAGAAAACATTAACTCACTAAAAAATAAAAATGACAAACCACAACTTAAAACCCCTATTATAAAGCTCGGTAAACTTTAAATACTATGTATTTATCGATGCTCAAGTCAAGAAAATAATTAATAAGCTAAATAACTTTGAAAGCTCACAACAACGTCACAAGTAAAGATAAATTTTAGCCTTGAAACTTCATATTTTCGCCATCCATAATGAGTAGGAAAAGTATTATATATATTTATTTATATATTAAGTTACTTTTATTTACTATTCGATTATCAATAAGGAATTACCGAAAGTGCATTAATGCCGGCAATTTGGTTCATTGTAGCATATTGGTCGACTGTCAAATATTAATTGTCAAATCACATAATGGGTAGGTATCGGGGATAATAAATTAATAAGAACTTGCGTGATTATAAGCAAATTTACCAGTATATATACTATTAGTGACTGTATTCTTATTACTGAATTTGAACATAGTGTTTATGAGCAATAAGTCCATTTTAAGTGCAACCTGCGACAAATACATGTGATAATATTGTGTGCGCAAATTTTCAATTTCTACGTTTATTTAAAGATTTTCATTTGACAACTGCCAGATATCACCCTTTTGAATCTTCTAACATAAACTGGGTAGTATTTATTTGACAGTGGACCCAAATTCTTGTTTACTAATTGATTTAGAATGCTTGGCTAAACAAATTTTAAAACAACTCTGTGATTAACTTTTCCAAGGTCTGACACGATTTTTGTTAAACACCTTGGTTAATATCTAGCCACTATCAATCGAACAAATCTTATCGCCAATCATGCATAAAGTATTTATCACATCTTTGCCGAACCAATAATTGTTTCCAAACAGAGCTTAACTTCATGTTCGTCTCCTTGATCGTCGTGTCTTCACTCTATTCTTCACAAATGGATTCTCATGTTGAACTTTACTTATTTTAGTCACCTACTAGTCTATAAATATCCAAATGAAATTTACACCTACTGTGCAAAGAAATTTGGACTTTTCCTTAATAACTATCTAATTAGCTCAATTCAATACAACTCCTCTCAGTTAACTCTAGCATCCTGTCTTTCTGTCTGCTCTTTCCTAGTTACGCGCCATTTATCTTCTCGCCTTTCTCTTTCGCTGACTGGATCACTCACTCCTTGATAATTCTTTCCAAAGTAATATAATCAATGCATCCTCCCCTCTCTTTCAGCTCATTGAGGGTTCATTCTTATGAGACCTCGCTTTTAAATGCTGACAATCTCAAAATTATATGTTATGGTTGAATTAATTATCAATTAGTTGAACATTGTTTGCTCTGTTTAAAAGCATTGTTACCATCTTAATATATATTTATAAAATAAAAACTTGTATAGTAAAGCAATGTGAAACATAAGTAGACATACAAACAATATTAGTAGCTGTCCCATTTTGTATAGTGCATTTATTTTATTGGCTGAAGTAACACATTTTCTGTTGATTGATTTTCAATTCCTCAAATCAAAATGTTCATATAACAACATTACATAGAAGTTAGCCTTTGCACAGTTTTCTAATTCACAAAGTCGTCCACCATATACCCATATAGGGAGAAAACAATTAATTATTTTTAAATTAGAAGCTTAGAGTAACAATACAATTTAAAATTTTTTAAAATCGTTAGCTGTCGGGTACATTGCAAAGGTCTTTACCATGCAATAATTGGAAAATATTAAGTGAAGAGACAAGACCTACCCTTTCTCTTAAAAATATTAGTTAAATATATGTTGAAAACCGTTGATAG